TAACCCGTAGATAAAACACCTTCATCAAACTGCTTCACCGAGGAGTCATTTCCCCTTTTTTGCACAATCTCCGATCGTTCACCCGAACAAAAGTTTTGTGAAGATTGACAGACCGAAAATAACTGGGTTCTGTAAGATCGTAAATAGTCCAGTCTGCTGAGACGCGCTGGCGACTAGAAGTGAAAATTCCAGAAATAAACGTGACAATAGACATTAAGCCCTCATTACAAGTTATTTGTGTTTTACACAGTTCAAAGAGAGCATTACGATAAAATACTGTATGGCGATAGTTTTGAAAGAGTCGTTAGTTATTAATATAAATATAATAAGTAATCAGCTCTTAACCTCAAAAAATGACGTCGAATGTCGTTTGGAAAATAAAAATCGGTTAATTCATTCGTGAGATATCGAAGGTGAAAAAATTTGAAAAAAAATGTTTTTTTTTTAACATAACTTCGAGATTTCGCAACATAATTTGGTGAAATTAGAAGCGCATTGCATTTGAAATAAGCGAGAACTTCTAGGAATGACCTGCAGGGTCAACCAATGTTTTTTAATCGCTGTGCCCTGTTTCTTTAATAGGCTGTTTTAGTTGAGTCCGTTTAAATTTCTCCTCTTAGCAATAATTGCAGGTTTATTGTACTTGTAGAGCGGTATTACAACTAGTGTCAATACCTTTGAAAAAGTGTATGTTTTAATTTAAGATACAAGTGGTAAAATAAAAATTTTGCAACCGACTTCAATATGATTAAAGTGAGAAAAACAGTCAATAAAATAAATATACTTTTGAGAAATAATATAATACAAATTATTAAGTAGGTATTTCTCAAAAATTACTAGTCATATCTTAGTTAAATTTATAAGAGACCACAGGAGAAGTACCAGCTTTCAAATAAAAAAAGAATCATCAAAATCGGTTCACACAGAGTAAAGTACTGAGGTAACACATATAAAAAGACATACAGTCGAATTGAATACCTCCCCCTTTTTGAAGTCGGTAAAAATACAAAATAAATCATACCAACAATTTAGACATCCAACTTTTTAAAAAGAATAATAAAATATCAAGGAATTTTAATTACCCTCGTTGAAATCTAATACATAAAGATAACATTGAAGTGTTTGTCCGTAACATTTTATTAACAGCTTTTTATTAAATTGAAGAGGTTATTTGTAAATTATTAGACATGAGCAGAATTTTTAAATATTTGTATGTCCGACAATGCCACGAGTGATCTACGCAATATTTTATCCGAAAACAGTGAAGTTTCAAAAAAAAAAACGAATAAACAGATCAAATAATTAGTTTTTTTATACTTTGATAATTATTTTACATCTAAATAACGTTACATTAATAGCTATACAGCGCTATATAGTGATTAAAATTGCCAACAGTAACTATCGAAATATAAAGTCCTGTCTTGTAAAGCGGCATAGGGAAATATCCAGAAGACGACTTCCAATAGATGGTGGGATAACTATTTCGGATCATTTCTCTCTCCAGGCATAAAATCCTATGTTTGAACATTTATGTATAACCTATTTCCTACTGTGGACGGTTGTAGACGGCAGGTTCAAATAATTTTAATTCATTTTCAGTTTCTCGACTCCACAGTCAGTTATTCATTGATGGGGCGATATACGCTATTACAATATGTCCTATAAAATATACAAAGTCTCTCTATTATAAAGTTTAAGTATGTTATCAAACTGTATAAAAAGGTTTATTGTGATATAAATGAATACATGGTAGATAATAACGCTTAAGAATGAGGTAATCGCTTCCAAGCTGTTTCTTAAATATGTTATTGTTACGGGCTTGAGGTTCGTGACAATAAAAATTGCCGATAGAATTACCTAAATTAACACTTTAATTTTCTATACACCAATTAAAACTTAAAACACTAATAATTAATCACACTGATTCACTTTATTTCGCTCCGAAGCTTCGCTTGTCTCGCCAAATTCAATACTTCCCCGATCGCGTATTGCAGCGCCTTTATATAGGGCTCTTCCACGAAAACATCCAGAATATTCCAGAATATTCGAGTAAATACGCGCGCCAACCGACCAAGCGCAGAAAGTTCGAGTTTGGGGCTTCCAGAAAGCTTAGTTCTTCAATTCGATACTAGAAGGCGCTGTCGTTTGTAAGATTAGTGATGTCACTTTCTGGAAAGCTCTCTCTTCGCTCTGTTACCCGACACTAGATGGCTCTAGTGCCAGATGTCAACTTAGCCGTGCAACATTATGTAAGTAGTTTATACAATGTATGTTTTATTGTATAACATACTTTGAAAAAGAAAAGTCCATCTGGGTTTCTTACCGGTTCTTCCTGAGACAGAGTTTTTTCCGTACCAGTGATAAAAGTAAAAAAATACTTTCAATACGAATTACTTCTAATCTGTATGGAAAAAAAATTATTTTATTCCTTTTTGTTTTTTATAGTAACAACTTTTAATTAAAAATAAAGGAGGCTGATGGAATGCATATAAGTTATATTCCAGAAACTAATGCGGATTTATATTTGACCAATAAAGCAAAGAGGACATGCATAGTTTCTACATAAGTTAAGTGCCCCGTAGGCGTACTAGCGAGAGTTTCGTAATGGACCTTTCTGTAGCAGGAAACTAGAGAATCGAATTCTCTACTTGTGTGGAAGTTCGCAAACCCATCACAATGTTATGGCTATCTAGCTTCCGAATCTATGCATCCTTTAGATTTATTTAAGCTTAAAGCAAATATGGGAATGACATTTACAATTTTAATAATTGCAAGTTATGTACGTTTTTTACCTCCTTTCTAACTCTATGAAATACCTTTTTCTGATAATTAGATTAATAGCTGGTGGTTTCATTAAATAATTTAAAATTTTAAGTAAAACAAAACGTAAACGTTTAAAGACACAAAAATAACGAGCTGTGATGATCCTAGTAAAATAACTAAGTCATCATGAATTTATTGTATGGTCATCGGTTCTTATGTCGTCTGCAAAATTCAAGATTATTCCGACGTCTAGAAGTGGGCGAAAACCGAAATATGAAATTTCGTTACATTCATAGATACATACAGGTCAAGCAGGTAATCTAAATTGATATAACATTGTTTGTATTGCTTTCATTTTTTATTTAATATTGGCTATCAGACAGAAAGAAAGAATGAGTTTGAATAAACTAGTTAGTTTAGAAAAAATCATGGAACAAAACCTTTTAACTTTCGTTACCGCCCGAAAACTCGTTGGAATTTCGTTTTTGTAAATGAACTTTTTGTGAAACAGTAAATGCATGGCATCACAACGGGACTTTTAAAACCAATATAAAATTTCTTTTTTTTCCGTTACTGTGGCGTAGACAGTTTTTAAGCAATTACTTTGTAATTAATGATACAACGAATATTAAATACCATATGTATTATATTTATTGAATCGTTATTAACATAATAATTTTACTTCTTAATTATTCTTGACATTAATCATTTTATTAGCGTCTTTCTACGTACAATTTAAAACCTATAATATACATTATTATCAATAAAGTTACACAATAAACGAATATTCAACGTTTCTTTTACCTAGAATGGCTCTATATTGCTCTATATGCTATAACATAGCTGCAGCCATATTATATTGTAGCATGAATGTGTGCCTTGCGGAAGGACCACGCTCTCACAGAATACTAGCGTAAAAATAGCAGTTGAATTCTGCTGTATTTCGTATGGTTAGTGCATACAATGCATCTGCATTTTGATTCTTAATCGAGATAGCCTATGGGCCATAGCGTCCACTTAACATCAGGTGGACTGTGTGCTTGTTTGTTGTATTATATTTTATACCCTTATTTTTTTTTTTATAGGATAGGGTGACAACCGAGCACACAGTCCACCTGATGGTAAGTGGTTGCTGTGGCCCATAGACATCTACATCTATCCTCGATTACGAATCAAAATGCAGATGCGTTGTCACCCGTGAGGACTAAGATGGAATGCCTCGTTTCCAGTAAAAAGGGTCTCCGGTTCTCTGCACTCACCATACGAAATACAGCAGCATTAAGCTACTATTTCACGCTGGTATTCTGTGAGAGCGTGGTCCTTCCCCGGTCGAGCCGACCCATTCGTGCTACAACTATACTACTAATATAACTGCAGCATGGCTCTACCACGTAAGACTACACACCTACTACACTACTACACCTTATGCTATAAATAATACCTTCGTCAGAATTTTTTCCTTTAACAAATAATTTAAATAATTCCAGGAATAAATAAAACATTCTAACGATTATAATACTATGACACCTGTATAATTAATGGTAGAGTTTCTTTTCTCAAGAGGTTTAATATTTTTGCCTTCAGGCAACAATTCCGTTACCGTTAAATTTTGAAGTAGTAAGAGTCCATATACCATCATACTCTTTTAATTTGAAATAACTTTTTAAATAAATATATAGTCTATAATTCCTTTTATATTTTTTATATTTACTTAAATAAGTAGTAATACCGGATAAAAAAGTATATGTAAGCGTGCACCATTTTTTCCGTCTCAGATCATAGGACAAATTTTCAATATAAAAAATTAGGAACAATCTTAAAATATAAATTACAACTTTTGTAGATTGTAGTAACAAAATAGTCGCTAGAAAAATTTTGGTATTGTTAATATTATTTATACAATACCAACATTGTGTGAATAAATTGTTTTTTTTTTTTAAGAAATATCCTGAAAACTAATAACAGAAAAATGATGAAGTTATTGTATTACTTTAAAGTTTAAACACAATTCCTGCTTACACAATAACGTAACACAAATTGTTTTTTAAGAACTATTGAAGCAAAGCGATATTTCATGTTATCTTTATCATTATCTACAGATTCGCGAAATCGCGAATGCAAGCGCGGGCGCAAATTAAAGCCTGCAGTCTCGCGTCAATCGCCGTTCTGAACGCACGTGTCGAACGTAAATGGGAAAGAAACCTCGTGGCCAAACCGCGTGTTTTTAAATTATTATAATGGTGAGTGCTATGTGTTTCATAACTCGTGTTAATCACGTTGCAGTATACACCGTGATTATATTGTACAACTCGATTGAGTTAAGTTTGTACTTGGTGCGAATGACATAACAACAAAAATGATCCAAAAACTAAACAAATAGGAGACGAAAATTAAGACATGCGTACAAGTAACAGAGATACAAACCGTACTGATGTGACTGTATGAACGGGGGTTTGAGAGCGGAGAAACAGAGGGTCTGTCTCGCATTGCAGTGAAGTGCAAACTTAGCTCCACCGGGTTTGTTTTGCGCTCAGAAGCAAATAAGGGCAACTCTCCGGTAAACGTAGAAGGGAGGTGGTGAATGCTCATAGCAAACCCGCAGCCGGCTATTAACTTACATTAATTACGTTAACTTCAGAAATGTTTTATTTTTCGTATGTAATCCTGTCCATTCATTGGTTGTCTGGAAGGAAATGCTTTCAGCAAGAAGACTGCCCATTGCATACATTTTGTATGGTTTGCAATAAAGAAGAAAAAAGTAACTATGCTCCAAATAATTAGTGACGTAGTTAGACGTGTAATTATGAATATACATTTAAAGTCACGTGTTATAAACAATCACTTGACTACTCAGTCAGTGGTGAACTCTGAAAATAATATTATGAATTACTACCAAATATCATAAGGTCATCTGGTTTAATCAATAAGTAATCTTAGATTCCCTTAATTATTCTGATACGTTACAGCCTATGAAGTCCACTACTGTACAGGCCTTTCACATGGGTTATATCATAGGTGGGATTCTGCCATAGCCGCCACGCTTGGTAAGTGGGTTGGCAACCGCAGTTTCTTTATTTTTATGAGTTTTTATGAGGAATATGCTCTTACCCTTCTTTTGCTTTAGTTTCCCTCTATCGCTTCTTACAACACCCACGTGATGACCATTGTGATGCTAAATTTTAATTTTAAAGTAACTACTATCTATTAATTAATTTATTTTATTTTATATCCTAGTTACTAATGACTCTATGCTATGTAATTCGAATACGTTAGCAAATATCCTCACTTATATTCACTTAATTCTCAGTAATTACTTGTATTACGTAAATTGAGTCCATTCTTTGTTATTACAGTATTGGCCTTATGTTTTCTTGCGATATGAAATTATGAAGCAGTACATAATTTAATACCAATGTAACAAGGGCACAGCAATATTGAAAACTTAATTAGGAGATAAAATGAACGAAAGAAAAGTTGTGTTATTTTTTTTTATGCCAATTGGATATTTTTACAAAAATGGTCTCTGGACCAAAAGCAGTTTACGAGTGGTACACGTTGATTGCATAGTTTGTGATACCCAGTTGATTTATTAATAAGCTTTTCATTTGTAAAAAGTAAGCAAAATCATTTAATTAATTTCCAAAAGACGACATATGTACGCGTAGTTTTACAAAACATTTACTAGTTTAAAAATTACACAAATAATAGAGCTCCTCTACGATAGCTTTTCAATAGCAGTAGGACGTAAGTACACCCACTATTCGGCACTAAGTTCTATTTTTTAGTTTAAAGTTCTTATACAAATATTTTTCTCGGGCTTCGGTGACTGACATTCCAGTAAAAAAAAGCACTGCAGTTCTACTATTTGCTGCATTATTCTACTGCAAGAACGTATAAAATAGCATCTTAGTACTTAGGGGTGAGATGATGCGCTCTCACCCCTTTAGGTTCATTTAGTTTCTTATTTGAGGATGGATTTCTAAGGATTGCAGCATTCACTTACTATAAAGTAGACTCTGTGCACTTGTTCACCGTTACTGCTATAACAAAAACATATAAATCGATGAGTTTCGAATTTTTTAACTGACCTATGTCTCTGACACTGTACCTGACTCTACCTGTAATCGTATTTGCACAAGCGTCGTTCGTCCAATACTAAATGAGCGTACTGACTGCTGGGAGCTTCCGAAAATATTATTGTCACTATCATCCACCAACAGCCCTCAATCGGCCAAGAAATCGTTATCATGTGTACCCGTATGATTTCAATAAATATGCGAGTAAATGTACGTCATCGTCGCTATAACACTTCGTAACTTTTTTACACCATAAGTGTGACAAAAAAGCATATAGTTCACTTGGTCGTAAGTGGATGCTGTGGCCCATATACATCAATATCTGTCCTCGATTAAGCATCAAAATGCAAAAGCGTTGCCACCCCTGAGAACTACAATAGAATGCCTTGTTTCCAGTAAAAACGATTTCCAGTTCTCTTTTTATTAAGGTATTTATTACGTTATTTTACGCTGGTGTTCTGTGAGAGTGTGGTTCATTATCGGTTTAGCCGAGGCACTCGTGCTACAACTATAATATAGCAGTACCATGGCTCTACCACGTAAATCTATAAAACTATAACCTAAATACATTAATCTATATGACGTGTTTCAGTCACGCTTCCGCTATATCCGTTCTATAGCTACGGCATGAATGGATCGGTTCAACTAAAAACCATGCCCTCACATAATAGCAGCATAATGCTGCATTTTCGTGTGGTGATTGATGAAAATCGAAAACTCTTTTACTAGTAATGAGCAATTGCATCTTAATCGAGGATAAATTTAGGTGTATTCACTTATTTTGTAATGGATTTTTCATTTATTTAACAATGTATCTATGCAGTAATCGTCAAGCACGTTATGTCTTACAACGAAGGTATACCAGATAAATAACATATTTCTATCTCTGACTTCCTGGTTAATTTGTGTATTTCCATGATGTTAATAATTGGCTTCATTTGAAAATCAGCGCTTCTTTAAGCTTTCTTGGTACTGCTGCAAATTACTGGAATGGGCACCCGATTTAACGTCATATATTTCTCTTTTAACTTTACTTAATTTTTTTATAATACAATGATATCGATATGTCAAATAAATAGTTTATTTCTTTCTTTCTTAGGTGGAAGAAATAAATCGACGTGCATTTCATTAAGTTTATGGTGTGCCCATTCTACATACAAAAATAAATTGTCTCCTTTAATATATTCTTATGGTGTAATTTCCGACGTTCTTAGCGTTAGGGTAGACTAGACTTTTTGGTACATTTACTTTTTTTCTTTATCTCTCTTTCTTTTCTCTTTTGTTTTATCTTCTATGATAGTTTTTATTAAAATGCCACGTCCATTAAGATTCCTGACTTTTACTATTTTTTTAAATTCCGCTTTTCTTTGCCAAAAGTTAAGACTTCCTCATTCTTGTTCTGGTTGTAACACATCCCGAATGTCTTTCTGTGACATGAATTATTACATATACAATTTTAATTGCCTCATTTTGCTTTAGCTTCTCAAAGACAAATTTGCAAAAAGTTTGGTGTTTTTTAGAGTTTAATATTGCTTCGTTATGTGAAGCTTGCCATTATCTAAAGCCGATTAAGCAAAATATATATAAGCAAGGTAAAGCAGATTAAATCGTTAAAATTTTCCTTTAAAGAATATCTAAGCTAGAAAAAATTGTAGAATAGGTTTTTAACGATCTATTGCAGTCGCTCCACGAGCGAACGACCGATGAAAACGAGCTAGAAGGTCATTTAAAGCTCGGACTGATAATACCTATGAAAAGATTACAAAATTATCATCTCGTATTCCCCTGGGGTCTCCTCCAAAACTGTACTAATTATTTCAAGAACGATATAAAAGGGATATCTATATAATTTTCTTTTATTTTTATGTTTGTTAAATATGTTTGGATGCCTTTTAACCGTATTACTGGGTAATTTTAGTAATTTTGATAGGTTCCTTAAGAAGACATGGGAACATAGCTGACATGAATTTTATCGTAAAAAAATACTTGCTTCATTGTTATTATCTAGAAAGAAAACAAAGGAAATACGTTTGTATAGGCTAAAAGACAACTGCTAATGAAGTGGTCCCGTGGTTGTTCGAATCCCGGGTCAGGTTAAAATGTGTTCTTTTTCAAGAAACTTTATGTAGCAGACCGAAGTCAGAAATTGGACGGTATTACACCCCCATACCTCGGAAAGTATGTAAAGCCGTTAGTCCTGCGCCTGATTTCTCTCCAGTCGTGTCGGATTTCCGTCCCATCGAACAACAAGGGAGGGCATTGAATATATTCAAGCTTGCGCACACGCTCGTGCGCTATAATCCTATGCTACGCATATGGCTTCTCCCGTTAAGATTGGCCTCCGTGACAGAAGTTTGGTCTGGAGGACGTTGTTAGATCAGAGGAAAAGCGTTTTATTTAAAATTTTGAAGTTCACAAGTAAACAGAATTCCATTCCATTTCCTCCGCATGTACCATTGAAATTGCTAATTGCAATTTAACTGCTGATTTATCAATTGAATTGAAGGAAATTTTGCATGGAAACCGACATCACCGAAAAATTAAAAAAAATATTTCGATGAAATATAAAGTTTGTTAATTCAATTTTTAGTATTAGTTACGGCCAAAAACAAATTCTAGAGATTTGTGCCAGCAGAAAACTTATTAAAGAAATAAATAGGTACCTTGGTTGTTTATCGAGCACTGATAGCAAGTATTATAAATTTTAGCACATTAATCACCTTTAAGGAGCGTGTGCGCTGTGGATTTTATATATACTTACGTATCAATTAGAATTGGATTAAAAAAATATCATTTCCTAATATCTAAATTACATTGCTTATTTAAATAAAACTGGTTTTTACGGATTTTATCGCGTATATTATCTTATTGTATATTATATTTCCGGCACCTTTTGAGTACTTTACAGTAACCATATCACGGGGTGACAGGTGTTTGTCGTCCCAATGTCAAAGTTAACCACGGCTAGCTTCAGTATAAATTATTAATTTTTGGTCCGATATACGTAGTATAAACCTGTAGTATCTTGAAGTCTTGCAATTGTGTGCTTTTGGGTTGAGGTTTAATTTTATAAATTATGGGATCCCAAGTATATGGTCAACATCTATCTACCAGTGATCCTATATTATCATCATCAACATCCCAAGTAGATGATAACACCCAGC